CCGGTTGCCCCGGAGGGTGCGGCCCGTAGAACCCCGCCCCCGCGGCTGGAGGGGCAAGCCCGAGCCTCCGGGCAGCCCCCGGGTTTCCTCCCGTCCCACCGCGCTTAACGACCCCCGCTCCCCGCTCCGGTTCGTGCCCGCCCTCGGTGCATCGGCATCGGGGCAAGCCGAAACGGCTCTGGCGGGGGCTCCTTCGCCAAGCTGAACACGGGCTTGGGTGCTGGGAATGGAGCGATGTTGAAAAATCAGTTTGGAGGCAAACATCAAACGGGGAAGGCTCTGACAAAACTCCGCTGTGCCCTGGTGCAGCCTAGGTACCGTCCCGTAGCCACGCTCCCTTCCCTGCGCTTCCAAACTGGGGTGATTTTGTTACTCGCTAATTTGCTTCTCGTGCTGTGTCTCAAGTGCTTTCAGACTGATTTAAAAGGGTAAGGTACTTCGTTCAACTTTTCAGAAGAGGGGCGTTCAACTGTTTATACCAGGGGCACGGGATCATTTAATTTCTGCTTTTGTGTACTCTGAGGAAAGCATCCGTAGCCCCCTGCTAATAGAAAAATCAGACAGGTTGTTGTTCTCCTTCAAAGACAGCGATTTGACCCGCAAAGACGAACTCGGAGCTGAACTTAGCCCCGCAGAAAGTAGGGGAAAGTCTCCAGAAAAAAAAGGTTATCGAATATTTTAGGCTAATGTCACCCTCTGTTGAACTCTGGCAAGTGGCTCTGAAGGCAGAGAGCTGTCGGAGCTGGTCGGCAGTACAAGTGGCAGAGGGGTTTGCTTATACCTTCATTTAACATCTTTAAAAAAACCAAAACCAACAAACTATTGTTCAGCCGGGTGTCTCCGGCTTTTTAGGCTACGGGCGTGCATATGCGCGGCTCCAGAAGAGGCGCTTAGAGATCTTTGCTTTAAAAAACTCCTCTGGGCTCGAGTAGACCACTCGATTTTTATCTGCACGTCCCGCCCGCTGCTGACACTCTGTAAATACGGCGAAGGCTTTGCATTTCACAGCCCCTCCGCGCCTC